TTTCATGAAGTATCTGTCAGTTGAAGTCGTCAGTTCATCTCACAACAACAAATTTTAAATTTGACCAATCAGTGTTCGCTATTCACGACAGTCCGCTATATTTTGAGATCAGTGAGGATGACCACCCATGAACGGTGAACCATGCGCCCGAGATATTTGATGAACTTTAGACTCCGCTAATGCTTTCGTTTCCCCGGGTGTAAATAGCCGGGTGGAATTAGTACCCTCGCACGGCGCTTCGCGCCGCCGGCTCGGGGATTATAGAATCCAACAGCAAGATTCGTGAGCGAACGCGGAAAGTACAAAATACCGGGCCTTGCTTGCAGGCCTACTATCAGTTCCCTTGGGCCTGCACGCGGGCTACGAACTACAAAAATTTTGTAGTCAACCCACCCTTGCAATTGATTAATTTTAAGCGGCTACATTATCCATGACAAACTGCAAAGAATGAAGATTTTTCTCATACTTTCCTGCAACTTATCCAATATATAGTTAGTTAAATACGCCTTCGCCCATTTAGTGCTACTAAATTGTAAATTTCGACATGCTAAAATGCTGTTTTTTGACCATCAGAATTCTCTTAAATCTTCCCCGAAGTCCAGGAAATGGCATTTCAGAGACTCTAAATTTAAAAATTTCCTTACTATTTTTTAGAATTCATGTGAAGGGCGTCATTAATTTTTTTTTGTGATGCAGGGGGTGGGGCAGGACATTTCGTTTAGTTGTTAATTGAATTTTGCCAGCCCACCCCCGGTCATAAATAATGAATGGTCCCTAATTTAAAACTTATTTTCAGTAATTTATCTCGAATAACGGGGTATTTCTTGTTCTAGAAGCAACATAGACGTTACAGGGCTGAATTATCAAAGGGGAGAGACAAAGACTTTACCTAGATTATTCACGAAGTAGAATAACCAGGGGAGTTCTGAGGTCCTCCCCCAGAAACATTTTCAAATTTTGCATCTCGCACGACAGGATTTTCAGCATATTTTGAAGCACATTTCCTTAGAAATTGCCGTAGTCTTAGGATTTTTTTAGAAATAAGGCAATTTCCTTCACATTTCCTTCCGAATCTTCCGTAATTTCCTTCAAATTTCCTTCCGACTCTAATTTCCTTATAATTTCCTTCAACTACCCGACTAGTTAAAATTCCCTTCAAAAGGAAATGTCCTTCAAAATGGAAGCCCTGATATTATGTCAAATCAGTAAACTCCATATATTTTATCTGGAATGATAACACGCGGGAGAAACGTGAAGCCAATGCCAACGTCACATGACGCGCGTGGTTCGTGATTGACCGCGCGGTGATGGCGTATAAGGGGACTGAAACTGACGTACAATATGGCGTGGAAATGGCGTGGAGGGCTGACGCAACTGCTCACGCGCATTCAATGCTCATGCATTGCTCACGCGAGGCTTCACTTTTTAACTACCAAATGACTAAATATTATCGTGCCAGATAAATAGATTGAGTTCACTGTGTCAAATCAGTGCTTCCACTTGCATATATTGGTCCTTTTAAGAAATATGCAAGTTAATTAGTTCTTACCAGTTACTTTCCGAGTTACAAGTCTAAAATCACTTAATTAAATTACCAGTAAAAATGAACTTATAAATATTATAGGCCTATTAACAAAAGAGGTGCAGAAGAAACTAAAAATGCCATTTCGTATTTATTTCATTGACTATAAATTTCAAAATTTGTCGTTCATCGATCGCCTTCTGCCATTCGACACCTCCACAATTAGGGAACAGTCATAAAGTAAAAGGGGGGATGGGAAAATCAAATATTCGGTGTATGCAATTTTGGTAGACCACCCCTTAATAGCGCCTGCTCGAATATTTGTAGCCCACCCTTAAATTGGTTCTGAAAAAGTATGACCCACCCTTGCAGAAAGGCGAACGATAACCGCGTTCCATTTTTCCGTTGCCAAATAGTTCTGTGTTACAATACTAAATAGGTATTATATTCAAATGGTGCAATTAATACAGAAAGGTTTTTCTTTGCATGGAACTTCCCATGATAGTGTTGATGATGACTGGTCAACTTGGAAGGACGCCGTGATGTCTGTTGTGCATGAATTTATCCCTTGGATAGCACCTACCATCTTACATCATATTCGTAAAAAGGTTACTGCCCGTAAGAGATTCCTTAGACGTGGAACTGATTATCTTAAGGTGAAGTTTAACAAACTTAGAGCTGAAGTTAAGAAAATGATTCAAAATAGCAGAGAGTCATTTTTCTCGTCATTAGCAAACACAATACAAATCAACCCAAAACTTTTTTGGTCGGTTTTCCAAATCAAGTCAAGTTCTGGAAATATACCCAACTCCGTAACAAGGTCGGATACCAGCAATCCTGGGACTAGATTACATGCTAACACACCACATAACATTGCAACAATGTTTAATGAGTACTTTCATTCTGTCTACACATGTGTCTCTAACAAACCCTCACCATCTCAATCTGGTTCATCGTCTCCTTTATCCTGCACCTCATCCATTGGCCTCTCTATAGAAGAAGTATATCAAGCCTTACTGAACCTATATCCTTCGAAGGCTCATGGTCCTGACGGGTTTCCTTCCCGCATTTTAAAGGAATGTGCCCTCCAATTAGCACCTTCATTTCATTACTTGTTTTCAAAGTCACTCCCCTTATCGCAGGTTCCCACCGAATGGAAATTAGCTAACATAATTCCTCTACTCAAGAAAGGAAACAAAGATCACGCCGAAAACTACCGTCCCATTTCTCTGTTGTGTATCATAAGCAAGACTCTTGAACGTTGTGTCCTCAACCATTTATCGCACCGTATACAGTCCAACATTCATTCAGCGCAGTATGGTTTCGTCAACGGAAGATCGAGCACAGCTCAGTTATTGTCAATTTTAAACACTATTGGGAAAAACCTAGATCAGTGTTTACAAACTGATGTTGTTTTCATGGATATTTGTAAGGCCTTCGATAGCGTTGACCATTCGATACTTTTACAAAAACTTCACGATTTCGGCTTCTCTGGTTCTCTCTTGCTATGGTTTCAAAACTATTTATCAGGTCGCTTCCATTGGGTAACTGTACACGGCGCTACGTCTACATCTCTGCCAAACACATCTGGAGTCCCACAAGGATAGTTTCTGGGTCCTTTTCTCTTCTCAGTGTACATCAATGACTTACCTAAGAACATATCCACTTCCACTGGGGTCGGTTTGTTTGCTGACGATACCAAACTGTACAGATGTGTGCAGAAACCCTGTGATGCATTGGTCTTGCAAGATGATATTCAAGGCCTACATTGTTGGTCGATAGAAAACCGACTACGCTTTAACCAATCTAAGTGAAAAGTGCTGTCAATAACCAGAAAGAAATCGCCTTAAATTTATCCCTATAAGCTTCACAATGATCATGCAGTTGTTGGTTTCCGACGCACAGGTTGATCTGGGTATCACCATTAGTCCTAGCTATTATGGAACGATCAAGTAAATAAAGTATGGTCGAAAGCCAACCAAATGCTCGGGCTAATTAGACGATCTACCGC